AAAAAATAAAGGAAACCCTAATACACCCCATTTCCTAATGAACTTAATCGCTGTGTTGGTCGTGGTAGTTCAATAATTGGACCTCTAACAATCTGTCTATGTCTAATCAAAAGTTTGAGTTTCACACAGTTTTAACTCAATACATACACTTTTTCTATTTAAAACAAATAAATAACGAGAGGTCCAAAATTGGACAAATTCGTCTATTGACCATTCCGCTCGCTCAGTTTGAACCAGACTTTTTACAAAGGCAAAGGAAACTTATCCTTCTACCTTAGCGTTCCTTTTAAAAGTGTAAAGTCGTGTCATTTAAATCTAAGGGCCGTATTCTAGAACTACTCAATGCTCAAGTCAGGACTTGAGTATGATTTCAAGCACTGGAAATCATATTCAAGTCCTTGCCAATAGGGTCGTATTTCCAGTGCCTGAAATCATACTCAAGTCCTGACTTCTGGAATACGATCCTATGTATATTAAGCTTCCAAACATTTTGTCACCGAATTAGATTTACCACGTAATTAGGCGAGTTTACCCTACAGTAATTATGTTCATAAGATCTTAATGTTCACCACATTCAGATAATAAATGAATTCTATTCTATTCAATGTGTGTGGGAATTATATCGGGAAATCGTAAATACCCCAGATTGCTACGTGCCCACATCGTGTTTTGCCAACGAACTCATGTCGGGAAATTGTAAATACCCTAGATTACCACGTGCCCATATCGGATTTTAAGGCGGTAACACTTTGGTAACATAATAGAAGTGTTATATTTTCAAAAGCGATTCTTTTGACGATTGGCTCAAAATGAAAAAGTACCCAGAGCCGTGAAAACCAATAAAACAATTCTATTTTATTGTATTTTGTTTCTATTTTTCTTGTTTCGGCAAAAAATATATATCATAGTGTAGGAAATGAAACTATTTTCTCGGATTTAAATCGCGTATATTTGTTTTTTCAAAGAAACCTATGTTTCGGGCCCTTTAGCCCTTTACATGTCCTATGGTCACAGTTGACTGAGGTGGTAAAGTCATCAAGCAGTTATGTCTAATATTAATGCAAACCACTCTATTTTTTCATTATCGTTACAAAAGTTACTTTTGTAGTTATTTGGGGGGTTGACGTTGCTCGCTTCCGTAGGTTTACCCTCAAGACACTACAAGTGACCTCTGGGTGGTACTAAAGAGCTACAACTACTGGTGGTAGGCTTTGGCCGTGACTAGTCACCACCCTCTCGACGCAGTCGAGTCGCCAAATGGTTCTTACCGTGTGCCGACTCGTGTTCGGGAGTAGTCATTACGAGGTCGGGTCTGGACAGTTGCATTGCTTCTGACGACCAGGTGTAGCTGCTTGTACTGCCACACTGAACACTCGGTTCTGGAGGCTAGCGGGATCCGAAGTACGGTACACCGCTGGCCGACCGTGGGAAGTTGGTAGCGGGAAAGCCACCCGTGAAAGGCTGCCCCGCCTCCCAACGAAAAATGAATCCCCGGAATGCTCCACCTTGCCGGTTGGCGACCGGAAGGGAGGACCAGGTGGCCATCTCCGGGGGGGTTCGGGCGTCCCCGCGGTCTCCAAGCCGATTGTACCCTCGTGTGGCAGTGTGAGCATGCTGCTTGGTTGAACACGACGCAGTGCCTGTTTCAACGGCCTTCATCCTGCCTATTCACTTCTTAAAACAACATGACAAGTCATAAGAAAGGAAAAAACTTTACACAGCGGTTGCACGTCCTCCCACTAAAAGTGCACCTCACTAACATCCGAGGTCTGCATTCAAATCTCGATTCGGTCCACTACCACCTTGAAACCGACAAACCGCAGCTGCTGTTCCTCAGAGACGCAAATCAGATGTCCGACTGACGCAGCGTACCTCAGCTACTCCGGGTATACTCTGGAGCACATGTTCGTACCTCGTGCCAAAGTCTGTGTGTACGTTCGCGATGACATCTGTGTCAAGCGTCACAAGAACCTTGAGGCACCGAGTTTTTCTGTTTTATGGCTTCTGGTTGACACAGGAGTTACACAAATAGTGTACAGCAGTACACCGTATACATACAGTATCTACCGCTCGCAAAATGGAGATCAGGAGACGACCAAGCTGTTCCAATGTCTGAGCGAGACGTCTGATGAGGCTCAACTCAGGTACCCAGCGGCGCAACTATGAGTAGTTGTAGTAGTAGCAGAATGAGTTTTGGGGGATTTAATGCTCACTATCAAGAATGGTTGTTCCCATATCAGATGACCGATCACGCTGGGAGAGAGACGCGTTAACGCTAAGCCTTTCTCAGCTCGTCAGTGGCGCCACCAGGGTCCTAGATGTTGAGTCTCATACGGCTAATTGCTTGGACCTTCTGTTAACAACTGACCCAGACCGCTATTCTGTGGTTGTGGAGGCCCCACTGGGTACTTCCGACCATTGTCTGGTGAAAACTGTATCCGTTTACTCCCCACCCGATCAGGGCCCTAATGGTATGAGACGGGTGTGGCGATACAAGTTAGCAGATTGGGACGAAATGCGCCATTTCTTTGCGTCATACCCCTGCCAGGCGTGCTTTACTTCAGGAGACTCGTCGAGCTGTGCTGATGCTGTAGTCGTGGTTTTGCGATTGGGTATTACATACCATACTCTGATGTACCAAATGGACCCCAAGCTCGTCCATGGTTTAACGCTGATTGTAGTTGTGCTGAAGCACCAAAGCCAAGCTTGGGCAGATGCTCGACTACGCAAAGCTCCGAGTACTCAAAATTTGAAGAAAGCTTTTAATAAGGCCGCCAAGAAGTGCAAAAGAGTGTATCGCAGGGCCAAGTTCGACCACGTGCGCCGCATTTCACCACAGGCTCGCCTATTATCCAGCAGGCAGCAAATCCTTTTGGTCTCTGGCCAAAGCGGTCGAATCTAACTTTTGTCGCCCATCCTGCCACCTCTGCTGAGGCCGGATGGCTCGCTGGCTCATACTGCGGAAAAGAAGGCGAAATTTTTTGCCTCACTCTTTGCTGAGAGTTCGCGTCTGGATGCCGCAGGAAACCTACTACCTACTTTACCTCAGGCCGACTGCACTATGGCGCCAGTTCGCATACGTCAAAAAGAGGTACTTAGAACTCTGCGAAATCTGGACGTGAATAAAGCTAGCGGGCCAGATGGAATTCCAGCGATAGTCCTGCGTAACTGTGCGCCTAAGTTGTCTCCTGTTCTCACACGCCTGTACCGCCTTTCACTTGAGACTGGTGTAGTTCCCAGGTCGTGGAACCTTGCAAACGTGCAACCTATGCCGAAAAAGGGAAGCAGAGCTGACACTGTCAACTATAGACCTATCTCAGTCACTTCCAGACTCTGCAAGACTATGGAACGCGTACTTAACAACCGTCTCCTGTCGTACCTTGAAGACAACGACCTCCTCAGTGATCGCCAGTACGGATTCCGACGAGGGCGATCTACTGGGAGTCTTCTTGTGTACGCTTGTCACATCTGGAGCGAGGCTATAGAAAAGCAAGGCGAAGCACTTGCAGTGTCTTTGGACATTTCTAAAGCATTTGACAGGGTCTGGCACGCAAGCCTTTTAAGTAAGCTTCCCTCTTATGGGCTTCCCACTGACCTTTGCAATTGGATCTCGGATTTCTCGAGTGAACGTTCGATTCGAGTGGTCTTAGAAGGCTACACTTCCGAACATATGGCGACGGATGTCGAGTTCCTCAGGGTTCCGTACTGTCTGGAACTCTCTTTCTGCTGTGCTGCATATCAATAAAATGTTAATAAATACCTTTGCGTATGCTGATGACAGCACAGTTGTAGATAGGTGCTTGACCAATACAAGGATCAGTGGAGAGCAAATCCAGTCTTGTCGAGAGTCCATGGTTAGCCGTTTGGATTTGACACTCCAGGCTGTATCCGATTGGGGCGAAGCCAATCTTATCAAATTTAACGCTACCAAAACTCAGGCGTGTGTATTCTCCACAAAACGGAGTCCCTTCGAGCTGACTCCGACTTTTCGTGATATATCCATACCGATAGCCGACTGCCTCCAGCTACTTGGAATGGACCTGTCGTCCAATTTGAACATCGGCAGATACATTGAATCCATGGCCAAAAATGCAACAAGATAGCTTGGCATCCTTTCCAGGGTGAGGCGTTACTTTACACCGGGACAGTTGCTTCAGCTGTACCAAGCACAAGTCCGGTCGTGTATGGAGTACTGCTGCCACCTTTGAGATGGCTCTGCTACATATCAACTGGCCACTTTGGATTCAATTGACAATTGTGCCAAGAGGATTATTGGTGACTCGGAATTAGTGGAGGCGAAGCCTTGAACACCGCCGTAAAGTTGCCTGCATGTCGGTATTTTACAGGATATATCATGGAGAGTGTGCGATGGAATTACACGATTTAATTCCGCCTTCCCCTTTCCATTACCGGGGGACTAGGCTTAGACTGGGGTTCCACCCCTATGTTGTGGATATTCCAAAGATTCCCACGAAGCGTTACGCTTCCACGTTTATATGGCGAACGGTTATGGAGTGGAATTCCCTGCCCGCAGACTTGTTCCCTGAATGTTATAACTTGGGCCTTTTCAAGGCGAGATTGAATAGGCATTATTTAGGTGTGCATGCTCCATCGTCGATCTCATCGTCACTTTCCATCAGGTGAGATGGAGGTCAAATGTGCACTTATATTTTATAAAAAAAAAAAAGTTATTATACAAACCTTATTTTTAATTTTACAAAGAGCATTCCAATTTACGCTACATACGCTTTACCGCGAAAACCTAAGAACTCGATATATAATAGAGTGATTTCCATACTTTTAGCAACAAAAAATAGCATAAGGTTATTTTCCCGCCATTTTAAACTTTGTTAGCAATTTTTGGGGTGCCAAATTTCAGGGTGGCAACAGAAAGGTTAAAATAGGCCTTGGCTTAAAGGCCTTGTAACCGGGCCATAAATCTTAATACAAAAAAAAAGACATTGTAATGTCAAAATGATTGTAGGCTTAGTAGTTCGTAGATTGGTTAAATAATTAATAAATTCTAGTAAATCGATGATTTTCTAATGTGAAAAAGTAGTACATATGTAATAATATGTGCTATAGCAATCAATAGTTAAGATTTGCAAAAATGTTTGAGTGGGCATATAGCGGCGCAAACAAAGCGGTACCCAGAAATGTAGGGCCCGAATGCGCATACTTTTTAACACCAAGAAGGCAAATAATTGAAACAATTATTGTCACGTCGATCTGCCTTTACACCGCAGTAAGTTTTAGAAAGCATATGTGCATTATTTATTTAAATTAACGGAATTCAATTGAACTTTAATCTAATTAGTCTTTCTATGAACTGGACAGTACCTACTTGAACAAATAAATTACCTTTGGTAGGCTTCCTGTACTTCACGGAACTTTCATTAGTGATATAAAACAAATGTTAAAGTAAGAACTTTAACATTGTACCTTATTAAACTTTGAAAATGCTATGTTTGTTTTTTTTTTATTAATAAGTAATTATTTATTTGAATTATAGATTAAAACTTACCCAAAGTTGCATGTACCAGAAGATGTAAATTATGTAAGAAGTGACAGAGGCGGTAAAAGACTTCTAGTTATTCTTCTGGCTTTGCTATGGGGTATGGAGATAGGTTTCAAATTCGCTTCCCGCACAGTGATATATTTGTTGAATCCATGTCATGTCACTACGCTGATACAGGTAAGAAGAGTATTTAACGATTTTTTATGTTGTTTTTCACAATATATTATTTGTATGTATTTTTTCAGATTTACTTACTGGCCGCACCACCTAGCAAGATGGTGACTGTACTATTTCGAATACATTTAAACCTATTAAATGGACCCTTATTAGCATTTTTATTTCCTGAAACAGCTTCTAGAACGGTACCTAAATTTTCTATACTTCATAAGTAATTCTTTTATTCTAAAAATTAAATTATTGTTTCCCAATTTTTATTTTAGATTTTCGCAGAAGCTGCTTTATACTGGATACAACATGGAATGATGTTTGTGATACCTTACTATTTGCTTCGAATTGGTGGTAAGTAAATAATAATGAAATGACTTAATTAGAGATGTATTTTTAATATTATTTTCATGTGCACCTGAAAGTATATGTAATTAATATATAAATTTTTAGGTGTATACAATGTGGAACCTTTATGGGATTTTAATTGGTCAATATTCAGCTATTGTCTCAATATGTTGTACCATTTCACAGTTCTACAGTTTATTGCAATTGTAAGTATAAATGTTGTCATTGTTAAGTGCTTTATTTGGATCTTTGAAAGAAGTATCAAAAGGCAAGTTAAGCCTTAACTTGTAGAGGCTTATTTATTGTTTTAAGATTGCTCAATTCATACCTGCTGGAATTTGTCTAAAAATGTGCTGTATTGTACTCAAGAAGGTAATTAAATACTGGTTTTATTTGTAGCCTGCCCAAGTGAACCTCAATCACATGCTGTGTCCTGCCATTCTGGATCCGTTTGACGGGCCTTGGTACCGCATTGCAGCAGTATTGCATCAGTCGATACTTTGCCCAATGCTCTGTAAGCTATTCTGTCTTATTTCCGAATTTTGTCTTACAAAATTTCCACCTACCAAGGTAAAGCCTAATATGAAAGACCAACTTCAAGACCCAATTAGTGATTTTTTATTATTGAGCACCAAGAAAACAGAGTGTCAAGGAACTGGTGACCAGCCTACAAAGACTCAACATGTGGACTAGTAATAACAACATGTACTCTTTATGGCTTTAAACCCTTTCAGGGTGGCATTATACTCTCATGTTGAACTGATGAAGTAGTAAAGAACAATATTAAATTTGATCGCGTCCATTTAATTTGGGTGGTTAGTAAACATATAAGTTAAAAACAATAATACAGTTAGGTTTAGGATGCTTACGTTTATGGAATATGTATTGTATCATATGGATATGAAAACATGTCTATAAGCGGGGACAACTCTGAGTAATATAATTTTTTAGGTTGACTTTGTGCGGTGCCACATATGCCACACGATATGCCAGAGTGGCTTTGCAACACGTGGTCGAGATCGTTTAAAAAAAAGCTGACCACTGCAGTCGCGCGACAGCCGTGGCCCTTACTGTTTGGCAGATGCAACGTGAGGTTAAAAATCAATTCATTGTATATAGGCAGTGTGCATCGCACTGCCCCATTGCGGCATCTGCTGCTACCGCCTGTCGCGAGGATACAAAGTCAACTTAAACTGGTTTCATGCTCTAAATTAAAAAATCTAATTACACGTTACACCTCATGTTGCAGATTCTGTCGCGCATGTTTATGAACCTAATTTGACGTCTTAAAAATATTTTCAAATTATAAATTCTGTGCAACCAAATCAACACAAGTCCGCCCACGTTAATATTAGATGCTAGTGAAGTCGAAGTCGCAAGACCAAAACCAAAAAAGGAACTACATAATGTAGTGATACTGTGTCGAAAACTCTATTAAATAACATATTTTTAACAAGTTCTTAGGTTTTCGCGATTGTTACACATAGGAAATGAAACTATTTTTTTACCGGATTTATATCGCGTATATTTGTTTTTTCAAACAAACCGACGTCCGGAAAAATAGTTTAATTTCCTGAACATATTTTTAATTTACCAGTTTTGTCAGTTTAGGCAAGATCGAGTTGTTTAAAATTGGTTTTGTTTGAAAATTTTATAATAGTACTTATAAGTACAGATGTTTCAAAAAGTGCTTTACGTAGATAAAATATGACAGCTACGTGAGCTGTATGCTGAACAAAGGTACATAAGATGTAACTTAACAAAATTTACAAGTTCTGACTTGAAAAAACTCCCTGAAAAATTCAAAGAGTAGTTTCCTAACTTAGATTTTAAATTTAAAGAAGTTGCCTTTAAACGAGAAGCCTTTGCCTGTTTTTTTTTTTGGCTAATATGTAAAGTTAAATATGTGATTGAAAAAACCAAACGTTTTAACTTTATAACTATTAATTTAATACTATTATATAAGTATGTAGTCAATTAATTTGATCAACGGTGATGTTTTCTAAAATGCGAACGGTTCTATGTGATAGGTAGAGTTAGAAAATTAAGATGCTAGTCTATGAATTTATGATACATACACATTGTTCGTTTCTATCATGCACAGGCTACAAAATTACGGAGCAAATATAATAATTAACATTCAATTAAGTATTAGAGATAAATTACCAAGGGATTAACCTACTATAATATCTCTCACATTCCATAACTACGCCGTGGATTGTAATTTAAACAGTTGCCTACTACTCGGTAGAGTGCAAATTAGTTTGGCGTATTATTATATTATAGCTAACTCATGTTTAAGTTAAGATTATTATTAATTTACAGTAACAACGATACCATTAAAACTGCTATTTATTGATAGTATAACCGAATGGTTGAAAATCATTAGAAAATACTTAAAGAAGGCGGAGATATGTTTAGAAAACATACTTGAATATCTAAATACTTTAAGATTTTTTCGAATTCAACATGTAAACCAAAGCTATGTACCTGGTAGATTCACGTAAAATTCATGAATTTAGATTACATTATAAGTAAGAAAATTAGAAACTAGTTTGCACGCAACTTCCTATGCCATTAAGTATTGTCTTTATTTTATAATTTTATGTAAGTGTTTAAGTAATCACAGCGTATTATTTACTTTTAAAGGACCGCCCGTTGTAACATACGTTCAGTATTAAAATGTTACGGATATTTAACAAAGAAAGAGATCGAAGAAATGTATAAATTCAAAGGAAAAAAAGGAAGGGAAAAAATACTAATGTATATTTGATAACCTTAAAATAAAGCCTATACTTGTTAAATCTTAATTATTCGTTTATTATAAAACGGTTTATTTTAAATTCGGAAAATTTCACACACAGATTTTCTTTAAATTCAGATCACATCTCGTTAAAGATTATCGTTTCAGATTCGTAAATATTTGGGTTGTTGGATTGTTGCAGTCTGTCTAGCCATTCTTTACTTTCATTGTCCGGGGCGGAGGTAGTGTTATTGTATTAGAAACGGAAAGTAAGCATAATCCAGGGATGTACACCAAAAGAAAGACAAACCTAAGAAAGAACTCCACACTCGTTTTAATTAAGTACCTAGATAGTTGGATTAAAAAATATTTAAACGTAATAAAGCCTAAGCTTGAAATTTTGCGAGGAGTCTGAAGTAATGTGAATTTTCACCTACAAGAATAGGCAAACTAAGGCACGTTTCGAAAACAGACTTGTGTACCTTATTGCGTTATATACATATCGACACTGGAAAGGGACAACGTCAAACGTGCATTTGGAAAATATTACAGGATAGCGATTTAGAGACGTTAAAAAAATCATAATAAATCATATTTGTTATATGGAAAACTATAAAATTTCAGTTTTTCCATTTATCGAATAAAATTAGAGTTATGATATTTTTTTCTTAAAATAATTACTTTAAATCGTTGTCCTGTAATAATATTACAGGATAATTATTAATATTACATATTATGTTCCAAATGCATGTCAGACTTTTTATCTTTCTAACGTCCATATAAATCATTTAAAAGCTTAATTAAACGATACGATATGAAGTTCATTGAGTTTTCTTAAGAATACACTTATGTATATTTAACATCGATTTAGAGGCCTTTCAATATGTAAAGTCACTTAGTTATTAGTTACTTAATACGTTACGACATATGGGAAGTTATGTAAAATAACCGAACACCATCCGTCGCAATTCAAAATGTAATACCATTACTTTCAAATATTTGCCAGAGCCCATTTTTGGAAGTATTTAGCAGTTAGTATGGTAATAAAAAATGGAAGTAAATTAATTTGTTACTTCGCGAAACCAGTGGAGGTTAAATCGCTCAAAATACGCTTGTGTTGAATATTTCATGCAATTAATTTTCCCACCTAAAATTTTTCCCCATAAAATTTATAAAGTAAATAACCCAAGCTACTACAGTCACAGATACCACCTCTAAAATGATAAAAAAAAACCACGGGCAATTATTAAGGAGCACACTGTATAATAAATTATAAATAAAAAATGCATATCCGGCTTTTTTTTAAATACCTAAAACAAATAAATAAGTAATGGACATCTCAGTTTTCCGAAAAATTGTGAATAATATTGACACCCACAACAACACGTGGGCGGAGTAATAACGAATTTATTGACTTGGGTGGCCGAACAGTTAGCGGGCACTGGAGAAGGAGGTCCCGGATTCGATTTTCTACTTAGATTTTTACCTTAATTTATTTGTAAATTTAAAGTACCTTCGTAATGAAAATTTACTGCAGTGCACGGTCATTTTGTAAAGAGTAAAATGCACCAATATTTGATTTTATTCGTCACGGCTTTGAGCTCATTGACATACACAATACACAGGGCCTTTAAACTAAACCCCACAAAAAAAAATCACATGGAGTGCGGTCGGGTGACCTTGACGGCCAATGTACTGGGGGTCTACTCTCGATCTCCGTCTGAAACAATTACTGTCAAATAAGTAATATTCGACAAAATTAAAAGACGAGTATCAAGTATGAAGCTTCATTCGCATTGAAGCTTCATTCGCATTGAAGCTTCATTCGCATCACGCGTCTTTTCATTTGGTCAAGTATTGTTTATTTGGCAGTAATTGTTTCGGACGGAGATCGAGAGTAGACCCCCTGGTCCGCCGCGACCTATCCACCGGCCTTCGTACTCACTCGTTAAAATTTATCACACGTCTCATTTCATCCTCTATTTCTACGGGCATTCAATCCCATCGGGAAAAAATCGGGCTCCTCCATTCGCGTAAATTGATAACGTAAACTGGCCGTGGTCGAAAATGCGTTACTATACCGTTAAAATTGTGCTTCTTCGAGGTACCGATTTTTATTTACTACATTGAGGACACGTTAGAAGTTATTGGGAAATATTAACAGCAAATAAAATGGGATTTTTTTTCTTTTATTTCACTAATGTGTGTTGTATTACTGAATCGTATGCACAGGAAAAAATGGACAATGATTTTTTCATGACCCAACACGTGTTTGGCCTTTACGAGGTATCCTCAGAGGTTGTTTATTGTTCGACGCCTGGCCGAAGAATGAGCTCTGTGACCATAGTTTCACTTGTGTTATTAATTTTATGCGGAGGGAGGGTGGCAAAAATATTCAATACAAGCGGTAGCTAGCTATTTTGCACGGTTTAACCTCCACTGGGTTCGCGTGGAGTAGTTAGCTAATTAAATTACTTCCATTTTTATTAACATGGACTTCCGCAAAGTAACGCCTGAATCTATTAATAAGTTAGCAAGGTATTTTTTTTAATCATCAAGGACTCTTAAATATATTGATATAACTCAAGGTAAAACATTAAAATAATTTATTTATAGTTATTTATTGGTTTTTATGATTTAGTACAATCTAAAGTTATAGGAACACAATAGGAAGTAAGCTCAAGAGTTAAAAATAGTCGAAACTAAAATCGATTGGAGTCAATGATTTCAATTTTCTACTGATCATGGTCGCGACAAAGGCGCGCGTTGGTGTGTAAATACAACCTAATAGTGAGTAAACCTTTTTAATTTTTAAATAATTTTATGGAAATCTGTTCTCGAATCTTTGTTGAAATTGCGAAAAGGCTCATAATTAGCCGTAATTGCTGACTGCCGTCCCGCTTCGTAAGGTGACAGCAAGAAACGCTAGTAAATTATTAAATTTCCTATTGAGTGTGATTATGTATAAATATTATTGATAACAAATGATCTCTCTTGCTACACTAAGTCTAAAAATTATATACTCGTCTAATGTTTCTCTGTAACAAGGTAATAATAAGTATAAAATACCGATGTTATAAATAGAGGATTGCAAATGGCAATAAATAAATAAATAATAAATGTATATTTGTATATTTTATTTTTTATTTAATTGTAGGTACCTACGTCTTTTTACAGTGTCTGGTTATCGCAGTAAAAAGTGCTAAGTCTAATGTTGCTTAAATTTATGCCAAGTTTGAAAAAAATACGCGTTAATAATACATAGCAGTGAAGAGTAGATTTTTTTTTGTAGTAAGTTACTAAACGAGATAAAGTTATCAACATGTTCAGTAAAAGACTATCAAATTGAATAAAATTTGCTGAAAATGTTAAGAGCGTTATAGCGAGAAAAAAAGTGATTTGTAGTTTGTTATCCATTTATAATTTCGTATTATAATAACATGGGTTTAGTTACAGTAATAATAATATAGAGTAATTTTTTTTAAAGGCAAGTGATATTTTACAATGTTTGGTGTTCGTGCAGGTGACCAAAATCAATCACTAATTTGATGTTAGTGTGTTGAAAGTATGCTTAAATATTAAAGTTTTTAATATCTGTTACGATTTACAAAGATCGAACACATAGAAATTTTTTTCCTTCGATCCCGTGGGACTTGAATCTACGTCCATGACGGTGCATGTAAGGTGTAGCATTGCTCTTTACCAATTGACGTACGGATTCAGTGACCGAGCCGTCGAAATTCTTCGTCGGCATTCGTCGCCGCTAGTATCTTTCAATTCTTGAAATCAAAACATATAGGGTATTTTAGTTTGTCAATTTGTATTTTATTACACAATGCTATAGCAATATGGTACAAGGCACAATTAACTAACAGATCGTCTGTTATATACGTTATAATGGACAGCTCATGAGGCAAAGTTTAAACGAGCCCCAAAAGTAACGTCAAAGGAAAAATGTAGTCTCTGTACACACGCTTATACAAGGCCATTTGTAAAATACTAACAAACTCGCAGGACTGTATTATTAATATTATAAACAACAACTTTTGTTAATTGACTTTTAACAAAACGTAATAAATGTATCAAAAATAAACTACGTTTTTGTTGTACTATCTGACACTTTTTAGATCTGAGGTAGAATAAGTTCAAACATGCAAGCGTCCTCCGCGACGACTGCACAGACTACCCCCGTGCTGCACAGAGTTATTGCCGTTTAGAGCGATCTATTTTTTTTTGTGTGAAAGTAAAGTCTGATGAATAATTAAAGTCATTGAACAAAACTTGTGGCGAGGTTAGTATTTTAAAAATAACCCTATATTTATTTATTTTCTCGAAAATTACCTACAACAAAAAAAAACGTAAATGGTGTCATTCGTGTAGGTCTAGATGTGAGGAGTTTAAATTCCTTTCTTATATGTTACTTCTTGAGTCACTTCATATAAATGTTATAAAAAAGTATACATGTTATATAATAATCTGTATTTTCATATGCTTTATTAAAAAGGCATCTATCTTATTGGAATTATATTGCAAGCACATACTACTTTTGATTGCACAGTAGATATTGTTTTGTCCTTTCTTAAACCTAAAAGAATCTTGGGAGTTTGTTTAAATTATATACTGCATATCACAATTTGTTAGAATTTGACTAGAAAAAATATTTTCTAGTTTATTTACTATCAGCCATCTATAGGAGGTCCCAAGTACACCATTGACACCTCAGTGTTTCCATATACTGCTGATACTGTAGGATATAATTTCTTACCTGGAAGACCTGGAAAAAAATATATTTCATTATAAACAACCACTAACTAAAGACATGTGGACATAAAAACACATGAATTTAGTTATTATCTAATCTGGCTAAGAAGTTTCTTTATAACACGATTTTTAATTTGGATATTGCTTTCATTTAAGATGATCGATATCTGGCCAGTACATACCTACATTCTTACCAAGTTTTTGTATATACTTTCTAGTTTAGGGCGTTAAAATTTTTTACCATGAAACCTATCACCGTTTATTTAAACGTTGAAGAAATCATGGCAACTGCAAACGAGGCTTAGAATAAAATGTCATAATGTAAGTTGTATTACATTCAAAACAAACAAAAAAAAAAACAAACAAACTTGTGAGTTATATAAATTTATTAAAATAATATATTTAATTATTGGGCCATTCCAAAGTGACAGGTGGGACATTTTGACACCTTTTTTCTTGAACTTTTAAGTAATTTCTCTGTAACCATTGGTTAATTAGACTTAAAATTAAAATATCATGAAGCCAGATATGCAACTCAACCGCGACTATTTATTTATATAAATTTATGACATTGTTATACTCAAAACTTTTAATTTTCTAAGAGTGACGGGTAGGACACTCACGACACGCGCCTGTTTGAGTTGATGGATGAATATTTTGTTCAGCAAGTTTTTCACTTGAATGTTAAAGTTCTATTATATATATATATACACTTCATTAATAACTTTGATAAATTTTAGGGAAATTAATATGGTAAGTTGTGACACGTGGGACACAATTTTGAGACATGTGGGACCAGTTACAATTGAATACACAGAATTAATAAAATTACACTGTTTAATATTAAATTTTTTTATGTGTTAAAATGTCTTAATAATGAGAAAAATTATAAAATATTTGCTTACAAATAATGGATCTACATATAAACAGCGTATTTTTTAAAATTCTATGTATTCAAATGTAACTTGTCCCAGCTGTCACAAAATGGTGTCCTAATCGTCACAATTTAACACATGAAATGTTTAACTCTGAAATTAAAGCAACTGTTACACCTAGTAAACATAAAAAAAACTCAAATTCATGAAAATACAAACATTTAGTCAAAGTAAAAACGTTTAGAAGTTTGACCCACTCATCGCTGTGACGGGTGGGACACACTTTCAAATCTTAATATTTACATTCCTATTTACGTGTAGAATACCCAACCAAGTCAAAATAATGACCCTTAGCATAATTGTTAGTTTTACACTTTACAAAAGCAAATGCCAATAGATTGCATATTAATTGGTTAAAATAAAAATATATACGTTTCATTGTGACTGCGGGACTTGAAATTAGTATCTATTGAAACTTTAATAACTCCTCACCATATATATTTCCATGCAATCACTTATCACTGTTTTAAAATCCGTAAATTGTATTTTCTTCAACAGTAATAACTTTTTAGAAAGACGCACAAATAACCGCGAAAATTGTTGCTAACATTATAGGAAAACATGCTTCACTGTAGACAACAGCACTATGACTGCATTAATGAAGAGAAAAAATACAATAATTGTACAATATCCGAAAAATCTCATTTATTTCTAATGATTTGATTTATTGGGCATATTTTGGTCATACAATTAAAACCAAATTGTGTAATTAACTTTCTTGAACCGAAATGTCATTTTTGCTGGAATGACTAATGATATTACAAATTTGTTCTTCAAGGTCTAGCTCAAAAAGTTGAACTTCTTTGATGTACAAATTGCTGTTTATAATTATGGCTAACAATTTGTTAATTGTCAATGAATGTACACTAGTAAAATCCAGGGCATGATGCTGGCAAGAGCAACTCCCTTCCTTCGCCAAGAAGAAAACCTATTTAATTATGGATTTTATAAGTCATTGGCAGATTTGTACATAAAAAAAAATTTAATACCTAACATGATATTTAAACTGATCATAATGGTACTTGCCTCGGAATGCAACTCCTAAGAATTCATAATTTCTTTCAAATGATAATGTGTTATCTTCACAATCCAATATAACTCTGATGCGTTCTCCTACCTAAAAAAAAGTTAAATTTATTTGTTACCAATTCTTCCAAATGTACGGAATTCTTAAGTTTTTCAGATCCAAACAGCATATATTTGTTTTCTCAAACAAACCAATGTTTTGGGCCGTTTAGAGGTCCCACGGTCAAGGCTGTCTTTCACAATGTTTCAACTGATTATAGAAACTGGTAATGTTCACTTACCTGATATTTAGGGCAATTATTGAGGAGTGGGTAATGTCCTTGTGTGTCGCCATTATGTAATAAGTGATTGTCTACCAGATTCCAGCCCCAACTCTGATCATCTGAGCCCAAGAGCCCTACATAACCTTGGCACTGCAATTGAGCCTCCTTGGTGGATATTCCAACAACAGCGACCGTTCCTAAAGGACCTTCCCATATTACTTCCCAAGCATGTCGCCCTTGGTGAAACCCAATTTTCCCTCTACAGGCATCAGTACTTTGTGCCACAGGGTTTCTATAAAACAAAATTACATAAAATATTTTAATTACCACTACAACAGCGCGAACACAATAAGTAACAGATACATGCATTGCACTACTTTATTGTCATTCATTCTACAATAAATAACAACATTGCACTTACCTATGCAACGTAAATCCATTTGGTTTTACGTAAATATTTCTCGAACAGTCGTAAGGATTCCACGCGTGGAGAAACGCTCTTAGCTTAGCTTTGTACGTAGCAAGTGTCGACAATAAATCTGATTTAAGTACTTCTTCCGCCAAGCGTTTCATACAATGAAATCTCCAAACATCATTGTTTTCATCACTCAATATTCTATACCAACTTTTACACACAAGAGAGCAGTTTCTGAGTTCTCGCAAGTTCAAGTATGAGAAAATGCTCTCTAAAATATGATCCGGTACAAGTTCCGCAATCGCGTATTCATCAATATCAAACTCATTAAATTTAATATTCTCCATGATCAACATTTGGAATATTTATTTTTAACAAATTATAAAATAGAAGACTAACAATCTGTGGAGTAAAAAAGTGAAAAACATTGGCTAAATTTCGAGTTTGAGTACAAGCATCTGACTTGACAATTAGCATACAAACATGATGCAAAGCTAAATTATTGACGTTGACATTTTGTTTTTTTTTTTTTTTCTTTTTCTTTTTTGGCCTTTCGCGGTCAGAGTTGAAGCCAATGACAAGATAAATTAACTTCATTTAAAAACAGGGAAACCTTTTCGTATGTTAAGGAATTTTGGAAACGGATTTAGAAAAAAAACGGATCGGGAGAGGAATTCCATGTTAGGAAATTTGTAGAACAGACAATAAATAATAATAATAATATTATATTAATGATATAAGAACTGTCTAAATTTTTATATTGTTTTCTACAATAAAGTTACATAAATACTTATAAATATGTGAATCATTACATGATAACAGTACCGAAATGGACGTAGGAAGAGGTATACCTGATTGGATAAGGTTTTGGAAGAGAAAGGAATAATCATATTTAGGGCAGTTTGAAAATATGTGGTCCAAATCTCCAACTTGGCCACATTCGCATAAATCACTATTAACGATGTTCAATTTCGCAAGGTGTGCAGGAGTACAAACATGACCCAACCGCATACGAATCAAAACAGATGTAGTCAATCTATTAAATTTAAGTGATGAAAACCATGGTTTTACAGGAATAGAAGGTTGAATGTAAGCATAAGATTTACCTTTTAATTTACTGCTTTCAGACCACATCACACCCCAATCATGTCTAAGGAAATGTATAGGAAGGGTTGCCAAATCGTGATTATAATTTTTATAGTACGCCGTGTCCCCGTCAACAGCAGCATCATTTGCGAGCTGATCAGCACGATCATTTCCATGAATACCAGAATGACTCGGTATCCAGGAGAAAACTACAGACAAGCCTTTCGAAGAGCAAGCTAACAACAAATTTCTAATTTCGAGTATAATTGGGCAAAGCATTCGCGTTTTAAAAGGAAATCTAGACAGTGCCTGAAGAGCACTCATAGAGTCGGAAAAAATTATAGTATTTTTTAGCTTAGCTAAGAGAACGTACTCGACTGACTTGTATAAACCGAAACACTCTCCAGTAAAAACAGAAGTTTCTGGAGGCAATTTAATTTTTTGAACAATGTTATATTGTTGATGATACACACCAACGCCAACAACACTGTCGCTGCCATGCTTAGAAGCATCACTAAAAATGCAGTGGCACGATTGGAAGTCCCTGTCTCTAATGAAATTGAAAGTATGGGAGTTTTCAATAGAATTCTTATTGATACCTAAAGACAAACGGATGTCCAGAGATAAAACTAAAGCCTCGTATTTAGTAGAGAAAAGAGGCAAACAAAGGGAGTTATGAATTGGAGTTTGCAAAGACAAACACTTACGGAAACTAATAACCAGACAAGGAAGAGACTTATGAGTCCAATAAGGAGATGTTGATGCGTCAGTTGAGAGGCGTCGAAGTCGTAACAAAAGAGGATGTTTTGTAAATTGCACGCAACGGAGCAGTTGAAGAGGAGGTTCCACACACTCGACTTGCGACGCATTGATGGGACTCGACTTCATTGCTCCCAGAGTAATTCTTAAAGCTTTAGATTGCACTCTATCAATTTTTTTAAATGCCGATGAGTAACATGGGTCAAGAATAAAAGATGCATAATGAAAAAGACTCCTAATAAGTGAATTATATAATAATTTCAAACAAAAAGAATGTGCTCCCCACCAAACACCCGTTAAACATTTGATAATATTCAGGTTTTTTTCACATTTAGCTACGATGTAATCTGAGTGTGGAATACCAGTAAGCTTGGAATCTAAAATAACCCCCAAAAATTTAGTTTGAGGTACAAAGGAAAGAGGAATATTATTATAAACCACATTAGGTATTGGTGGATTACGTTTTCTAGAAAATAAGACAACAGTGCTTTTGGGAATGGAAAGTTCAAGGCCATTTGTATCTAGCCAACGTTTCAAATGTTGAAGAGACTGTGTCATTGAGTAAGATGCTTTTTGAACACAACCGTTTACATTGTACAGCAAAAGATCGTCAGCGTATTGAAGAATTTTAACAGAATTATTAAGTGAGGACTCTAAAGTCATATGTATATATATTATAAAGAATAGGGCTAAGAACAGAGCCTTGGGGAAGACCCTTCCATACATAACGAGTTAACTTAGCGCCATCCTGAAGATGTAAATTGATATATCTTTCAGACAACATATTTATGATAAAAGAAGATAACATTACGGGAATTCGTAAATCATATAATTTCTTTTGAAGCAGAGAAATTAAGACATTATCATATGCTGCACTGATATCCAAAAAAGCCGATAAAACAGATTCATTATTTGTAAAAGCCAAACGGATATCCATCACAAATATACTAATATTATCAAATGTGCTTTTACCTTTTCTAAATCCAAATTGGCTTGACGCCAACAAACCATTGCTTTCAACAAACCATTCCAAACGGTTTTCAACCAAGTGTTCAGCTAACTTTAAAAGTACGGATGAAAGAGCTATAGGACGAAAAGAGGAAGCATCCGACGCTAACTTGCCAGGTTTTAAGATTGGTATTATAGATTGATATTTCCATGATTTAGGGATGTTACCTGACAACATAACTGAGTTTACTATATCCAAAAAGTATTTAAGGGTCCTGTCGCTACAATTTATGAAAAATGAGTATGGGATGCCGTCTTCACCTGGAGATGAATCCTTAACGAGAGAAAGCACACCTTTCAATTCGTTTAAAGAAAAGGGAGAATTAAGGACAGGGTGGTCTCCGGAGGAAAAAGAAGGAACAGAGCAAGTCATTAAATTAGGAGCTGAAGCTGGAGCCAACTTATCCAAAAATTTATTTGCTAATTCAGATGGAAAATTGGGAGTTGATGAAGAATTAAATGCTCTTCGAAACCTTCTAATTTTTTCCCAGACAAAGACGGGACTAACGTCAGGAGATATAGATTCACAGAACTTCTTCTATCCATCAAATTTCTTTTTTTTTTTAAAGCTTACGGGTGTTACGTGCAACTTGTGAATAAATTTCAAAATTTTCAGAAGTCATGCACTGACCATAAATTCTTTCAGCTTCCTTCCTTCTCTTGATAGCCTCAGTGCATTCACAATCCCACCAAGGAGGCAATGGAAGTCTATCTGGATAACCTTTTTTAATGGGAAACAATTCATCTGCAACTTCAAGAAGCATTTTAACAAGAGAATCTGAACAATGAGATTCATCATGAGTAGAAACAGATGGAAGTGAAGAAGTTCTATTTTCAACCCGCTGAGAAAATACAGTCCAGTCATGAGGAAATCTATACTTTATGCGGGGACTGGGTTTTTGTGTAGGCATATGGCGAATAAAAGGAAATGAAATTATAATAGGAATGTGGTCACTACCACAGGAAGAAGTATGCAAATGCCATGAGAGCGAGGATGCTAAATCAGGCGTGGAAACATAGAGATCAGGCGCACTTAATCCTTCACCTGGACCTGTGAGACGCGTAGGAGCGCCATTATTCAAAATACAGAGATTTTGAGAGTCAAGTATATCTAACATTAAGTCTCCAAAACTATTACATGAAGAGCTTCCCCATGATTGATGATGACTAAAATCGCCTAATGCTAAAAAAGGTTTTGGTAAAACTGAAAATAAATTGTTGACTTCATTAAATAAAGCTGTTGAAGGATGTGGAATGTAAATAGATACGAAACATATACCATTCACAATTATTGCTATAGCATCTATGCCATCACTTAAAGTGGGTAATTGTAAGAGTTGGTAAGATAAAGAATTTTTAATGATTATGGCGACACCGCCATACCCATCAGATCTGTCTTTTCTAAGGGTGGAATAACCAGTTACTTTGAAAGGATAGCCAGGTTTCAACCATGTTTCTGAAAGACAAAGCATAAAGGGATGAAATGCATTTATTAAATAAAAAATGTCAGATTTTTTACTGGAGGCACTTCTACAGTCCCACTGTAGAATTACTGGGTCCATATTCAGGACGAATTAAAACAGAATTTTCAATAACATTGGCAACGTAGGACGGTTCAAATTTAGTCTGAATCATATTTGATTTAGTCAAGAAATTTACAATGGCTATAATAATGTCCGAGATAGATGTCTGTGAACTAGTATCAGAAGAGGCTTTAAGTGCTGAACCATTAGGGAAAGCTAAAGGTATGTTGTAATCCTTTGCAAATGAATCATGTGCAGCACGATCATACCCACCCGCTACTTTAGGAGGGGACCGTGGTTGAACAAACACTGTTTTTTTATAAGATTTATTAGTTGAATGAGCCTCTGCTGAAACTGTGTAGTTATTGTTCAGCCTACTATCATTAGATTTTTGTTGAGAGGAGCGAACTGCATCAGCAAAAGATCTTGAAATTGGAGGGTGATCTTTTGATGCTTCGGAATATGATATACTACTTTGGGCCATGGACACTTTAATTTCTTTTTGACGGGCAAATTCAGGACAGGATTTGCTATTGCAAAATGGAATCCAGAACATAGGCAACAAGAAGCATAATCTACATGTACTGAGCAGGTTTCAGCAGTATGGTCTTCACCACATTTTAGGCAACGGGGTTTGGATCTACACTGCATTTTGGTATGACCATAACGGCAACAACGATAACATTGTATTGTAGGATATATATACAGTTCAACAGATAAAGCAGTATAGCACATATAAATGCGCTTTGGTAAAACGTGTCCATTAAAGGTGAAAATTACAGTTTCCGAGTTATTAAATATCGCAGTCCCACTTGCAATAGTTTTCCGCTTGATACGTCTAACTTTAATAATTTTACCGCACCCAATAGGCACTGAAACATTTTCAAGAACTTCATCATCTGTCCAATCGGCAGGGACACCACGCACTACTCCCATACGAGTCACATCGAAAGTAGGAATAAAAGCTTTAAATTTGTGACTGGCAAGACTGGGGTCATCAACAAAGTTATTCGCATCAGCAACACTAGAGAAAGCCAAACTAAGCCTGTTGCGACCTTATTCTTTTCAAACTTCCGTTTACAATGTTTTT